AGTACCCCCACCACCTAGGTAGCATGACCTCACTTTGGCTTTTTAGATAAACATTTGCAATCGGTTTTTTAGAAAACGAAAACGGAAAGTCAGATCGCAGAAATCGCTTGACCATTTAGCTAAGAGTGAGACCGTTTTTGATAGGAACAGGTGCGATTACATACCTTAATTCCTTCTCCCCATCCCTCTGCTGATAAGTTGCAATTTTAGCAGTGGGGAGTCTTCCGATTCCGATGACGATAGCAATTCTGGTCAGATAAGTGTATGGATAGGAAATGATGATGGAGAGTGAGTATGAAGCACGGAGCAGCCTAATTTCGTCCTTTATCCTGCTGTAATTTCAACTGTTTAGAGTATTTGTCATTAATTCCACCGAACGAGTGAGAACTCGAGCTCGTGAACGTGTTGCCAGATTGAATTATCCAGTAACTGCAATCGTTCCTGTGGCTGGCTACGTTTTCGTAGCGACTGCCAGCACGACAAGTGTTCAACTGCTTCGATTTCAAACATCCGCAGGTAATTTATTTTTGAAGGTATGTTAGATAACAGTTTCCTTCATGAAAATTTCTGCTCTAGGGGAAAGATTGAAATAAAAGCGAAAAAATAGGGAGAAAAAGGAACAGAGAGGTCTAAGATTGTTCATCACAATTAAGGAGATAAAAGTCGTAAGCCCACTCAGGCGGAGCAAGGTTAAAGAAAAATTCAGCTGGAACCAGTTCTCTCTCTCACATAGATCAATTTCTTTAAGTCTCTACTCATTTCACCTCTTCCAAAAATTTACTGTGCGTAAATTTTTAAGCCTGCCGGACTCACTAAAGAAGGATACTTTTAAGCGCAGCCTTTCAAAATAAAAGACTAATTACTAGATGCGGCCTCGAACGCAATTTTAAACCTGCTCTAAACGACAAAAAGTGGAGATTTCCGCGAAGAATAACTGCACAATCTGCCGTTAATCATTCTGAAACTCAAATTATTCAAAGGACGAAGCAAAAGCTCATCTTTTCAAATTAGGCTTACTCTTATCAACAAATAAGCTAAATCGGTTGTTTAGAGCAAATTTGGGGCGTTTGAGCAATACGCACCCTCAAGTTATTTTTCGCGGGATGAAATTGTCATAACCTCATTTAGAAAATCGTCCAGCAGAAATAGAAGGCAGATCGTTCAGTAATATGCCTCTTATTCTAAAAGTCCACGTTTACTAAACCTTTCTCCGTTAGTCACGCCTTCGTCAACTCCTTATAGATTTATATATTCAAAAAATCTCTCTCTGTTAGCTAAAACTGAATCATTTCCTCTATACAAGTTCTCTATAGAAATCTCGCATCCACTCTGCATATCCTTCAACTTCTACAAATTGAGGAAGTCAAATTTTAGCATACCTATTTCAGCTTTACCCAAGAACGCATCTAATGCTTTAGAATTTCAAATTAGTTGCTTCAGAGCGCTTTTGGGAACTCGATAACCCTACTTCTCTAAGCCATTCCCTAACCAGACCAGTCTTAGCGATGTGTCAAGTTGGCAGACGTCTGCTTTTGGCAAGTGGTTACCAAATTCATTCTATGGATACGGAGGATAGTGGCTGGGAGGTGAACTATCTACAACCAATTATTATGCTACTTATTGCTCATGTACTCCACTTGGGAAGCTAAAACTCTCACTTAGTTGCCCGTCGACGTGGTGGCACCAACTGAGGCGATTGCACTAATGACATCATCTGGGTCCTATCTTTTCTGCTGCGCACGAAAATCCACAAATATTTATGTTGTGGATGCATTTTCTCTAAAAGTTGTAAATCATTTTGGAATTGCTACTTGCATTAGAAATCAGCTTGCGGGTGAGTATATATTTTTGGGCAACCAGTCCAAATGGTTGCAAATTTGTGATTGTTTAGGTCGAGAAGATATCATACGGGAACACAAAATGGGCTGCTTACGGATATCATGTATCACCGTGGCAACTTCCCAACTTTGGATAGGTACTTCAGCCGGAATCGTCATATCAACACCTCTTCATTGTGCAAAAACTCAACCAAACCCTCCTCTTTCAGGTACGTGTGTGTATAAAACTACAATTTCACTCAGCCCAGAAAGCGGATAAAAATTTCCTTGAAAAAGCTATGGTTTAAGAAAGGAAATAGTAAAACTAAATAATGATTTTGAATGGATCGCTCACAAAACGAGAGAGTGGCGTTTAGGTGGTTAGAAGTTTAGTGAACGCAAAATCAACAATTCGATTTTATTAATTTGGCAAACTCTAAGAAATGCCTACGCATAACTCGATTCCCCGCGCATGGTGCTATGAAATTTCTCCGGAAAAAAAATCTTTAAAATTGCCTTCCACTATGATTTCATTCACTTTTTTGAAGTTTCGTTATCAGTCGAAGTGGCGTTTGCGTGAACTATGCAACAAGTTAGAAAGAAGCTCATTACAGCGCTCACATCTTACTGACGCAGAATTTCCCTTATAAACGTAATAAAAAATTTTCATGCATAATCTGACGTTACGTGTAACGTTCAGCAAATACAATAAGCCAAGAAGGTCGGAAAAGTCGAAAGAGATCAAAATTCACGTGAACGCTGTCTCTAATGTAAATGTGTCATCAGAAAGATAGAACACAATTGACAATGTGAACGTAGGCGAATGTGAAAATACGAAAAATTTGTCTTTTCTTTTGAATAAAGATGGTATAGTGGTCCAAACTACATTAGTCCCTATAACCATTACAAGATATAAAAAGATTAAGCATACCTGTTTTAACAATTACCTGCTACTCAGCTGGGCAGATAAACATTTTGCAGGATTGCGGCTTGAAGTCCAATCTTTTGTCTCTTCCTTTAATTTTCCTTCCTATATCTCTCTCAAGTCTGCAAATTTTTTTTAAGTTCGCGAAATGGGTCATGCTGGTCCATGTCGGGTGCTCATTCCAATTAATGTCGCGTTGACGAGGAAAGCCAGACGCATGTCTTTGAACGTGCCATCTCAGCAGGCTTCACAGGTTACTGTATTTTCTCAACTTCTCTGAGTTTAGACTCTTTAGTAGTAATACAGTATTATTGAAAGGTTTGATGATGATTCTTTGGCCATTCTAGTTGCTAGTTGCAAGTTGTGGTGAAGGTCTTGACGATCGGACGGGTACTCAAGATCCTGCAAATGACGCTGTCAACCACCTGATATTTTGGAAATGCCCACAATTATGCGAGTCCAGCTAGTTGTTTTTCAATTACTACTGATTCCATTGTTCAAATGAATTATGTTTCAACTCTTACGACTGAGAACCAAATCATCATCTGTAGTCATTCCACATTATTTTGCCTATGTCATGAACTTTTTATAAGGAAAAAGGCTCGTCGTTGTTTTTCTTCGCATTTGCTCAGCTTCAGGACCTCTTATACCTTGCGCAGGTACAGGTAAACGATTATGTTGATGTATGACTTATATCACAATTTTATGCAACTTATCCGCAATAAGATGTAATTGGCTTGTTCAATTGTGTTCATCTGCGATTACTGAATGAAGGCCTTTAAAGCAAATTAAAATCGTTATATCGAAAATGTTATTTTTCCTGCCTTAAACCGTGTTTTTCTATTGCCATGTCTCTGTTTTTTCCAGAATTTAACACAAGTGTGACGCAGTTTGTAAAAGTTATTCCCAAATAAAAATCCTTTCTTAATCTTTATTCATAACGTGGCATAACAGCAAATTTTGTGGATCCTTGCCTGTTTTGTGCTGAGCACCGTTTTTGAGCAGTTTCAGAGGGTAGATCAAGGGTGGTCAAATTTGATCTACCATCGAAATGTCACGATTTTGACCATTTCGTGCCCTCTCGACCGCAAATACCGACAGATCTACCGTTTTTGAGCAGTTTCAGAGGGTAGATCAAGGACGTTCAAATTTGATCTATCACCAAAATGTCACGATTTTGACCATTTCATGCCCTCTCGACCACAAATATCGATAGATCTACCGTTTTTGAGCAGTTTCAGAGGGTAGATCGAGGGTGGTCAAATTTGATCTACCATCGAAATGTCACGATTTTGACCATTTCATGCCCTCTCGACCGCAAATACCGACAGATCTACCGTTTCTAAGCAGTTTCAGAGGGTAGATCAAGGGTGGTCAAATTTGATCCACCATCGAAATGTCACGATTTTGACCATTTCATGCCCTCTCAGCACAAATATCGATAGATCTACCGTTTTTGAGCAGTTTCAGAGGGTAGATCAAGGATGGTCAAATTTGATCTATCACCAAAATGTCACGATTTTGACCATTTCATGCTCTCTCGACCACAAACATCGACAGATCTACCGTTTCTGAGCAGTTTCAGAGGGTAGATCAAGGATGTTCAAATTTGATCTATCACCAAAATGTCATGATTTTGACCATTTCATGCCCTCTCGACCACAAATATCGATAGATCTACCGTTTTTGAGCAGTATCAGAGGGTAGATCGAGGGTGGTCAAATTTGATCTACCATCGAAATGTCAGGATTTTGACCATTTCATGCCCTCTCGACCACAAATACCGGCAGATCTACCGTTTTTGAGCAGTTTCAGAGGGTAGATCAAGGGCGGTCAAATTTGATCTACCATCGAAATGTCACGATTTTGACCATTTCGTGCCCTCTCGACCGCAAATACCG